GAAAAAAAAAGTGACCCCCCCCCCCCTTCAACTTTCCAATTTACTATAAAATTGAATATATTTATTTTTCAATCAGAGCTAAATGCTGTCTTGTTTTTGTTCCTTTTCTCGCTCTCTCTTTTTTCCCTCAAGGCTGACCATGTATGCAATTGTTACTCTGCAAGACTCAGATGAGGTGATGGTGGTAGCATCAAACTGGCTGAGCCTAGACAAGAAACAATGTTGCTGGCCCCCATTCAAATCACCAGACAAGTGCATGGAAGCTGTTCAGAACAGAATTAAAGCTGAAACAGGAGGGAAACCATGGGAGAAACTAAACATTAGCTTTCACAGAGAATGTGGTAATGGTCACTATTTTAAAATAACTTGATTTAAGATTTTGTACTGTCTAATAAGTTCTCAAATAATATAATAAAATATTTATCTTATTGCAGTCACTTTTGAGAAGGCAAAAGAGGGGCAAAAAGAAATCAAAGAACAGAAAGAACGGTAAGTAACAGACTTGCATTTTGTTCCAAAAAAATAAAAATTCTTCAAAAGATTTGACCTTTGAAAGAGCAAAATAATTAATTTGTACTGTTTTATTTAAAGTATTGTTTCTTTTCAAATAAAGGTCATATCTATTAGCCACTGGATTCTCTGGAATACTAAAAAGACAGAGACTTGAAAGCACTCAAGGAATGTCAAATAATCAGCTACAACCACTTCCTGCAGTAACACCTGCATCTACATACAGAATGTCAGCTGATGGTGAGTCAACTTCTTTTGACATAATCAATATGAGAAGTTTTTTTCTCTTTTTTATAATTATAGCATAACTCATTTTACACAACAGACAAGGATGAGCTCCTCCAAATGCTGAGAGACATCAAGAGCACAGTTCAGGAAAACTCTGCTATGTTAAAGAAACTACTAAAAGACAATACGGTTTCTGAAGCCCCCAGCAGTACAAGTGTGCCTTCAAAAGACATTAAAGCAAACCTAAAACTGCCTCTTAGAACCTTTGAAGATGTGGCCAGGACTGAAAGAGAGCTCAATACCGCAACAACACGGAAAAAATATGTGAGTCGACACAGCATTTATACAATATTTAAAGGGATACTGTACATTAATTTGGTCATGATCACAATATATATATATATATATATAT